CGAAGCATATGCATCTCTGTTCATCGATCATGTAACTGGGAGGAAGATCTTTTTATTCTCAGTGTATGTGGGAAGTTCAACATCCATTGGTTCATCACAAAATTATCTAATTTGCACTGATGATGGGAATGTGTATGCATCTCTGTTCATCGATCATGTAACCATGAGTGCACTACACATCTTGAAGATCTCACATGTAGCCTCATAGAACATCTACTTGGGCTATACTTTGTTCATCTGCAGCAGAGCGATGTCCAGCCACTTCAACACAGATCATCCCGCTCGCAAGCTGTGCACTCGGGAAAAACACAATTAAATGGTGATGGTAATAGCCTTTCTCCAAATTCCGTGAGAGACATATACAAAGCAATTCAGAATTTTTCACACCAAATCAAATCAAAATATAGGACCTGTGATCTCTTCGTTAAAGTTGTCAACAGCCGGAACACTAATTGATACAAACGACATCGGGCAGATAAAGGGGTGATTTCTCCACTTAACTGGGTGCAGCAGATCAAACACAATTACTGCGAATCGAACGGGGATCTCGTGCCTAAACTGTCACTTCGCGTACACGTTGAGCAGGTGCACTAGCCAACTATGCTATCAGGTCTTCCTCATACCTAGTCTACTGTGGTATAAGTCGTACCAAGGTGAGGTTGAAGAGTCCAACTCTGGTTCAATAGACAATAAATTGTGGCTTGCTCAGATAATCCATGGTTTGCATTCGATCTGAGCAAGGAGGACTAGCGTTAGGATAATAGAACGAGTCCAGAGAAGTGTTAGCCATTTAGAAGCAAAATTGAAGGAAAACGGAGGCTCACAGAGAATGACCCGACCCCAGATCAAACGGGGATCTCCTGCTTTCCAAATCTTCCAGGCATACTATGTTCATCAGGTGCACTAGCCAATTATGCTATCAGGTCTTTTTTAGATCTGGTCTGTTGTGGTCTAAGTGGGACAAAGAATTGAACCTTGAACCCGGGTTTTAATTAATTGGCATCAGGTTCAACTATTTCTTGGGCAGACTCGGAGATTCCAGCTAAGCGAAAAATGATGGACACCTTTCGATTTTAGAGCAAAGTTCGGGCCAAGCTCCAGCCGAGCGGCATCTTGACTTGATCTTACACAAGCCCCACCATGAAATTGTCTCAAAATGGGATCTTGTTTGAGCCGAGGAGGGATTTGGATCCCATCAAATATCCCGCTGTAGGGCTGCTTGTGTGCTTGCCACTGACCCTGCTTTTTTGTAGGAAGAAGGAGAGGGCCGAGGCCGAGAAGGTAGGCTGCAATTGGCCTTCATATGAAACCGAGCGGCCATGATGGGCAGTTGAAAGAAACACTGTTGAGGCCGGTTGAGGCTCCATATTGAACGCTTCACGGCTCCAAGATATGCAGAGGCCCATAGCTACGCATTGGCTAGTGGACGTGGACTCGAGAGTGGGAGCTAAAATTAGCACGGTTGGCGGAGCCGAAGCTCGGCCCGAACTTTGCTCTAAAATCGAAAGGTGTCTATTGTTTTTCGCTTAGTTGTCAACCAAAATAAATCAGCCTGCTTAGATCATTTCACTCGAGTAAGAGCAGATCGGCACCGTCGAAGTGGGGTGGGACGGCGCACAGCCAGTTGAAAGACAACAAAAATTGAGGAAAAAGAAACACAGTCCAAGACAATGACCTGACCCCAGATCGAACGGGGACCTCCTGCCAAATCTTGCCACTATTCATGGTATGAGTTGCAAAAGCACTAACCAATTATGCTATCAGGTCCTCCTTAGACCTCTTCCACTATGATATAAGTAGGACAAACAAGCGGGACGTGAACCTGATCGGACAGGTTAAACAAAAAAGAAATTGGAGCTTCTAGCCGGGCTTGACTGTCATTTTAGCAAGGAAGCTAGCGTTGGGATAAGGAAATGAGCCCAGCAACAAGATAGCCAGTTAGAAGCAAAATTGAAAGAAAAAAGTCCAAATTCTTGGAATGACCTGACCCCGGCTCGAACAAGGATCTCCTTTTGGACATCTGGGAAGAAATATAATTTAACAGGCACAGTAGCCAATTATGCTATCAGGTCTTCCTTGGGCCTGGTCTGCTGTAGTATAAAATGGACAAAGAAGCGGGACATGAACCTGATCGGGCAGGTTCAACCAAAAATAAATAGGTCTGGGCTTGATTGTCATTTTAGCAAGGAAGAGCGACTTTTGGAGATAGAAATGAGCTCCGCAGGATGTGATGAGACATTCAGTTAAGAAAAATTGAAAGCCAAAAAAGAGGCAAATTTTAGCCATATGACCTGACCCCAGATCAAACGGGGACCTCCTGCCTTGAAAACCTTTAAAGAGTACATTTACAATGTTCAACAGGCGCACTATCCAATTATGCTATCAGGTCTTCTTTATGCCTAGTCTACTGTGGTATAAGTGGTACCAAGATGAGGTTGAACAGATCAACTCTGATTTAATATACCATACATTATGGCTCTCTACTCAGGATCCTGGCTTGACTCATTTCATGTTTCATTTGAGAAAACAAGAGCGGCTTTTGGACGAGAAAACGAGGCCAACAGGATCCTACTGTATGTAGACAGGTGCGAGACAAGAAAAATTGGGACAAAAATCTCACAACCCAAAGGACCATGATCTGACCCCAGATTGAACAGGGATCTCCTGCCTTCAAGATCTTTCAAGAATACTATGTTCAGCAGGTGCACTACCCAATTATGCCATCGGTTCTTTCTTATATCTGGTCTACTGTGATATATAATAGGTACGAAAGGAGAACCTTGAAAAACCGCCTTTGAGAGGCTCTATATTACTCGTGATCCTGGGGTTGGCTGTCATTTCATTTTATTTGGGCAAGGAGGCCTCAACGTTCAACATTAAAACACCCTTGTAAAATGAGGTCCGCAGGCTGCTGTGTAGGCAGTTGCCCAAAAAATGAAATAAAAAGACTCTCCCTTTCCGACATGACCTGGCCTCGGATTGAACGGGGATCTCCTGCTTAGATAAAGCATGTTGCAATGGTGAACTTCGGCAGGTGCATTAACCAGTTGTACTATCAGGCCTTTCTTATGCTGGATTTATTGTGGTACAAGTGGGAGAAAGGTAAACTTCAGTAGTTCAACTTTGGATGGGTTCAACCAAATAAATTGTACCTCGCTCGGAGAATCCTTGACCGTCATTTCATCTGAGGAAAAAAGAGCAACTTTGAAATACTAAAACGAGCACCGCAGGCTGTTATATAGCCAGTTGCGCCGCCAGTTGCCCAAAAAATGAAAGAAAAAGGGGAGGCCTCTGCAACATGACCTGACCCCGAATTGAACAAGGATCTCCTGCTGAATATTCACAAACACAATATGTCGAACAGGTGCACTAGTGCACTAATCAATTATGCTATGAGATTTTTCTTACACTGGAGGCAAGGACCGTGGGATTGGGTTCACAGTATAAGGCCGACACTTGCCATGGCACTTGCGACGGCACTGCATGTTTGAACAAAGAGATGTAAAAATATCTGCAATGAGGCCAGTTGGTCCGGACCATCAGGCTGTTACGAAGGCCGCCATTCGGCATCTCCTCTTCTCACGCCACCCCCGCACGAGTTCTCTACCTCGTTTTCATGAGCTGAAATTTAGGCAAGCACTGCACCCACCTAGAATGCATGTAGTTTGTCTCCGTACTCCTCTTATGTGGAGGGTTGCATTTCTTTTGGGCCCGCCATCCTTGTTGTAGGTAGGTACGTACATCGGTAGTATCACACGGCCGGTCCGGCTGGCATCCAAAATACACGAGACAAGAGAACAAAAGAGAAATGAATGGTGGATGCTGTACACGAAATGTGAACATTCAAGACAACTCTGATCTCCATTCCCAATGCCAAAATATGCTGCTCGGGTGACTTGAAAATGCAACGCAGGGGGGCTCCGGTGGCTGAGAGCTAGGTCACGCAACGGTTTAGGGGAATTTTGTACCAAGGAAGGGTTGAACCGCCAGCAGTACGGTGATTGATGGTTGTTTGCAAAGGATTTGAGCCATAATCAACACAGGTTTGGCTGGAAAGGATTATTATAACTTGCTTGCCCATTTTTCCTGCTACGGATGCTCCACAGAATGCAGACGGGTTGAGTCTATTGTCTCTCGGTTATTATGCTCTGATGAGTATAAGCAATTATTTGCCTGGGTCGTGAACCCAGAGAATCAGAACGCGAAAGAGCGCTCGGCATCTAGCGGAGTTTGAAAGAGGCCTAGGCTCGGAGTGCCGAAGCGCTGCCAAAACAGCCGGAAGAGTTTGATCCGGGAAGCTGGCCTCGTTGCAAATGATATTTTTACACCTCTTTGTCCAAACAATGCGGAGCCCGTGCCGTGGCAAGTGCCATGGCAAGTGTCAGACTTATGCCATGAACCCAGGCCCAGGGCGCTTGCCTCCAGTGTTATGAAATTGAACCTTGAGCCCGGGTTTAAATTTCAAATTTGCATCGGATTCAACTACTTCTTGGGCGGACTCGGAGATGCAAGTGAAGAAATTGCGGCTTTCCTGCATCAATGACTGTCATTTCACTCGAGTGAGAGCAGGAAAATTGGCACCGTCGAAGTGCGGCGGGACGCTGCGCAGCCAGTTGAAAGACAGAACAAAAATTGAGGACAAAAACATATCAGTTCAAGACAACGACCTGACCCCGGCTCGAATGGGGATCTCCTGTCTAAAATCCTACCCCTTGCCTATGTTGGCAGGTGCACTAACCAATTATGCTATCAGGCCTTTTGTATACCTGCTTTACTGTGGTATAAGTCGTACAAAGAGGGACTTGAAAGCTTGAACAGCCGACCGCTTAGGAGGGTTCAACTAAAATAAAATAATAGCGTGCTCGGATAATCCGCGACTGTAATTTAATCAGAGCAAGGAAGAGCGGCTGCGGGATAAGAATAACAAAACCAGCAGCATTATATGTAGCCATTCAGTTGAGAAAAATTGAAAGCCGAAAAAAGACTGAGAGCATGCCTCATGACCTGACCCCGAATCGAACGGAGATCTCCTGCTTTACGTAGGTATCGAGACATTGCCAGCAGGTGCATTACCCAATTATGCTATCGGATCTTTCTTAGACTTAGTGTGCTGTGGTATAAGTAGGAAGCGGGACGTGAACCTGATCGGGCAGATTAAACCAAAAAGAAATTGGAGTTTCTAGGCTGGGCTTGACCGTCATTTCATAAAGGAGGAGTGGCTGTGGGATGAGAAAAATGAGACCAGCAGAACAGAGAGCCAGTTACGAGAAAAATTGAGAGAAAAAAGTGGGGGATACTGGAGCACGACCTTACCCTGAATCAAACAGGGATCTCCTACTCAAGACTCACAACGACGTCATATTGAGCAGGCACACTAGCCAGTTATGCTATCAGATCCTTCCTATGGGTGGTACATGGTGAGGTAAGTAGGCAGAATTGAGCTGGTAACCCTGGTGACTCGGAGGCGAGTGTTGGATGATAATAATAATACATGGATCTCCGCGTGAATTAATTCTGCGGTAAGGACATGGGTGGATATCATGTCGAGAGGCAGAAGCGAGTCTAAGCGAGAGGTAGGAACGCAGCGTGTGTGGTGGGAAGACGGGTCGGAGTCGGAGTACTGTGGGAAGAGGCCGCGGAGGCGACGTTGGGTGGCAACACGAGGATTCGAGTTGAGAGCTAAAGCGAAGAGCGTTCCGTGCAGCAAGGACCTGCGGATCCCACAACATCGCAACCGCAAGTTTGCGGACATAGACGCGATTCGCTTGATCCGCGCGATATCGATCCGCAGATGCAGGATTTGTGTCGATGCATGGTTGCTGCGCTTGGATAAAGCCGCACTGCGGTTGATTTCAGGGCAGTGCATCGAGAGCCGGCAGTGCTGGGCATCCCAGATGCGCGTGAGATGCGCGTCAGAACCACTGGGACAGTTTCACGGCAAAAACCACGTCGGCTAGCAAGCGCCGGCTGTGCAGCCTAAAATAGAAATATTTAATCTGTCTCCGTTTGTTGCCTCTGCATGTCTCTCCCGCCGGTTCCTCCCCGCCCATACTCTGCGACGCCGACGCCGCACCTTACCTTTGAATCCCCGCCGCATTTCGATAACCCGCTGGCTGCGCCACGGCCGCACCGCGTGGATCCGAGCCTGGGCGCGAACGTGAGTAGTAGTAGTAGTTTTGGAGTCGATTTACGTAGGAGCGTCGATGGCGTGGCTCATGCGCGACTGCCCGCTGCTGCTGTGGGGCTGGTGCTGGGATTGGGATGACGCTGACTCTACGCTTCAGATGGCCCGCGATCTCGACAACAGCTCAGCTTCAGCTTTCATACAACCCCGCCCGCCGTCGGCACTCCCGCCGCCGCAGGGCGCAGACTGGTCGCCGTGGGCCCCCGCCGCTGCCGCCGCCGCCGCCCGCACGCCGTCGCCGATGCCGCCACGCCTGCCGTCGCCGCCGCGTGACGGGTCGCTCACCGTCCCGCTGCCGTCCACCGCCGCGCTCACCGCCGCGCTCCCCACCGTCACCGCGCCCTCCCACGACCCCCAGCTCCAGCTCGCCTGGGCCCGCGACGTCCTCTTCCTCGTCGACCGCACCCCCTCGCTCTCCACATCTCCCCTCGCCCTCGCCGCCGCCCCCCTCGTCCTCTCGCTCGCCAGCGCAGCCGTCCCCGAGGCCCTTCACCTCCGCGCAACCTTCGCCGCCAGCGGCGCCTACCCAAATTTACTGCCCGCAAACCCCCGCGCCGCCTTCCGCGACTTTGAGGCCGCCGCGCGCGCGGGCTACGCCCCCGCGTGGTTCCGCCTCGCCCGCGATTATGAAGCGTTCAACGACTCGGCGCACGCCCTCGACTGTCTCACCCGCGGCGCGCGCGCCAACGACCCCGCCGCGCTCCACCGCCTCGGCGCTGCGCACCTCCTCGGCCAGCTCGGCCTCGCTGCCTCGCCCGCAGAGGCCGTGCCGTACCTCCATCGCGCTGCGGTCAGAGCGAGTCTCCAATGCCCGCAGCCTGCGTACGTGTTTGCGCTGATCCTGCTCGAGGAGTTCAGTGTGCGGGTCGCGCCGGGGCTGCTGGCGCCGTTCTTGCCGGGGGGACAGAGCGCGGGGCAGTATGCGAGGGCGTTGCTGGAGAGGGCGGCGGCGCTGCATTTTGCGCCGGCGCAGTATAAGCTGGGGCATGCGTTTGAGTTTGCGGTCCCGCCTGCGTGAGTGTCTGCTTTCCCTCCCTCACATTCCCATTCCTCTCCGTTCCCATGCCCATTCCCCTCCGTTCGCTCCCTCCCCATTCTACTCCTCCTCCTGCCTCCTCCCCAGCCGCCCTGGCTCCTCCTCTCCCCCACCTTGCCTCCCCCTCCTGCGCTATTCGCTCGCTACCCACGCCCAGGCCCACCCTCTTCTCATCCCGTCACTCCTTTACTTTACTTTCCCTTCTCCCCACCCTCATTTCTCCTCCCCGCGTGCTTCCCCAACGGAATTGCCTACCGAAATTACATCACCTTCACTGCTCGCGTTCTGCCCTATTCTATTCGCTCGCTACCGCATCTCTCCCCTCTCCATACCCCCCTTGCGTCTTTTTTCCGCCCTCCCCACGTTCTTCTAATTGGGTTACCTTTACTGGCTCCACCTTTCCCGTTCTGTGTCTTTTCCTCCCCATTTCTCCCACCCTCCCCTCCCTCCCCTACTCCTCCCCCCACTTTCTGGCTCTTATATTCTCCTCCTCCCCTCGCCGCTTCACTCCCTCCTGCCCCTTGTCTCTTACTAACCCAATCCCTTCCTCTACGCTCTCTAACTCCCCTTCTGCACAGCGCCTTCCCCTTCGACCCGCTGCTCAGCGTGCAGTGGTACAGCCTCGCGAGCCAGGCGGGCGAGGCCGAGGCGGACATGGCGCTCAGCAAGTGGTTCCTTTGTGGCGCGGAGGGTGAGTACTGCTCTGTTTGGATTCGATTCGTTCGTTCGTTTGTATTGCGCCGTGGTCGAGGGGGGCTGCACGTCGCCGACGCCGACGCGACGCCCGTTTGCCCCACCGCGGCCTCTGGTGTGTGTCCCTGCGTGTCGACCGCGCAGGACGTGTCGGACGTCGAGCGCCGATGTCGCGTGTCGCGTGTCGAGGGTGGCCTGGGCGCGACGGGAATGGCTGGCGTGACATGTCGCGTGTCGAGGCGGTGTGGTGGCGGGTCCCCGGGATTGGCGTGGCATGGCGTTAGGTGTGCGGGTGTGTCAGCGCTTGGCGGGGTGGCGGTGGGCGGGCCTGCGTGACGAGACGAACTGGCGCCGACGGAGCTCTTCCTCCTCCCTCCTCCCTCCTCCCTCCTACCTTTCCTTCGCTTTCCATCAGACCGTGCGCGCCACTGCCCCTCCCCTTTTCTCCCCCTCCCCCTCCTCGTCCTCCCATCCTTCTCTCATCTCATGCCCATCTCTCCTCCTCATACTCACCCTCCCTTTCTTCTTAGGCGCCTTCGACAAAGACGAGTCCCTCGCGCGCACCTTTGCGGCCAAGGCCGCCGCCAAGGGCCTCGCCGCGGGCGAGTTTGCGATGGGGTATTATTGCGAGGTGGGGATTGGGGGGGCGCGGGATATTGATGGCGATGGGAGGGGAGGGGTGGGGGCGCGGGAGTGGTATGCGAAGGCGGCGGCGCATGGGAATGCGGACGCGGCGGAGAGGTTGCGGGCGTTGGCGCAGCCGGCGGCGCAGGTGGGTTTTTTCGTTTCGGTTCCTTTCCTTTCTTTTCCCGGGGATGGTGGGTGGGGAGGCGGTGGCCGCGAGCGCCCTCAAGTCTCCCCTGCCCGCGCAGCAGGCCTCCTCTAATGCTTCGGGCGCGGGGGTGTGGACAGGATGTGACGCGATGCAGGACCGCGGCGCGGTCCCGCTCCCCTCCACACGCGGATTTACTCCCCGCTCGCTTTCCTCTCCTCGTCTTTCTTATCCATCCCCTTCCCCCGCTTCCCAGACTCCATTCGCCATAACACTACGATCCTCTTCGCATCCTCTTTTGCTTTCGCATACCCCTCTTTTCATGATACGATACGAAGATGCTGACGCCGTCTTGATTTGGCAGGCACTGGGGCGGACGGAGCACGACGCGCTGACGGGGGACAAGCTCGTGCGGAAGCGGACGCAAGCGAGGATGAGGAGTGATCGGGAGGGTGGAGGGTGAGTTTCTCTTTCTCTTTTGTCAGCCTGTGCTAACTGGCGTTTCCCCCAGCGCGCCATACACCGCCGAGCCCGCTGAATACGCGAACCCGCACCCAGAAGCGCCGACGCCGAACCCGTACGGCGCCCCGCCCGCCGGGCGCGCGCCCCCGTCCGCCTACCCTGCGCAGGGGGCGTATGGACAGCAGCAGCAGCCAGCGGGCGCATACGGGCGGCCACCACCGCAGCAGCAGCAGGACCCGGCGCAGCGGCGCACGCGCGTGATGGAGCTCGCAAGGAAGAGCTCGCTCGCGGATGCGGGTGGAAGCCATTATCGGAGTGGGAGCGCGGGCGGCGGGGCGGGCTTTGATTATCGGACGGGGAGCGCGCAGGGGCAGTATGGGACGCCGCCGCCGCAGGGGCAGGGATATGGGGGCGCACCGCAAGCGCAGGGAGGTCATCCTGCGGGTGCGGGTGCGAGGCGGATGCCGCCGCTCGCGGAGCAGCCGCAGCACCGGATGTCTGGAAGGGAGGGGAGCTTGCCGCCTGCGCCCGCGCCGGGGCAGGGGCCGAGGCTGCACCCGGGAGCGAGGGAGGGGAGTTTGGGGGCGGGGAGGGGGTATGCGTTGAGTGATGGGGGACCGCAGCAGCCCCCAGCGCAGGGTGGGAACGGGAGCCGGCCGGGGAGCGCGGCGGGGAGTATGGCGTCGGCGGGGGGGCGCGCGGCGGGGGTGCCGCCGGGGCGGAGGCCTGCGGCGGGTGGGGCTGGGGGTGGGAACGCGGGAGGAGGAGCGGTAGGAGCGGGAGGAGGGGCTGGGGGAGGGGAGGGGATCACGACGACGACGGGGGGTGGGGGGCCGGCGACGTTTGCGGAGATGGGGTTCACGGGGGCGAAGGCGGAGGATAAGGAGTGTGTTATCATGTAGGCGCAGCCCTCCCTCTTCTTTCCCCCTTTCTTTCTTTCCTTTT